TCTCTCTCTCTCTCTCTCTCTCTCTCTCTCTCTCTCTCTCTCTCTCTCTCACTTCTCTTCCTCAGTTTCTCACTTATGAAACACTTTCTCTGCCTCCTTAACCAAATCCTGCAAGATATAATCCTGCAACCCTTCTAACCACTGTAACTTTTCTTAATATCTGATGCTGACTGTCCTATGAAGGCCATAACTACCACTGACCCTCAGAGGTTGGGTCAAAGGGAGTATAATGCCTGCAAGCCTCCTATAAACATTTAAGAACCACAGATGGCAGAGCCCTGCGGTGACAATACTGTCAGCTGCTCCATCCCACTTCTGACACCAGTTGGGAGGACAGAAATCACAAACAAACAGGCCCCTTCATGCTACAGAATGGCACCCATGTGTATTGTTCTTTTTAAAAATAATATGATGATGGGATGTCCCGGGCGGCTCGCGGAGTCCGTCAAGGATGGCAGTGAGTCCCTGCAGCACCATGCAGCCGGGGGAGTCAGGCGGGCGGTTACGACGGATAAAAGGCTCATAGGACATAGTATTATTTAAAGAAGAGGGAGACATTTATTGCTTAAAGAAGAGAAAAACAAAGAGAGAACAAAGACACACGTACACACGAGACGAGACAAACACACACATGCACACACACACACACACACACACATACACGCACGCACGCACCCACCCACACACGCACCCACCCACACACACCAGAGAGAGAGAGAAGATGGCTGCGGGGGAGGTCCAAAAGTGGCTGGGGTGGGCGTGGTTAGTTCTTAAAGTAGCAGCAGAAGACTAACAATGTGGATAACTGCATCCACAGAAAGCCTGAGAAAGCTTGGGAAAGACTAGAGTAAAGCATTTCGGTTTTCAGCCATAGCAGGAAAAAAGCTGCGCTGTTTTAAAATGCCGGCTTTCTGTCCTGCCAGGGAAAACTCTGACTCTTTCAAGCAGGCAGTCTAGACTATGGAGCTATGGATACACTGTTGCAGCCTGCTTCCTAGCAAGGACCTTGAAATGCCATAGGAGCTTTTGAGTGTTGTCTTCTCCATATTCCTGAGCAAATTAAAGACCCACATGGTCAGAAAGAATGAGATATACAGTAAAGGGAGATTCAAAGGAAAAAAACCTCTAAATGGTTTAAAGTCCTTAGAAATAAAAAAGAAAGAAAGAGAGTAGTTGGGTGTGGTGGTACACACCTTTAATCCCAAGACTTGGGAGGCAGAAGCAGACAGACCTCTGTAAATTCAAGGTGTGGTGGCAGACACCTTTAATCCCAGCACTGGGGAGGCAGAGACAGGTGGATCTCTGGGAGTTCAAGGATAGCCTGGTCTATAGAGGGAGTTCCAGGACAAAGATATGCAGAGAACCTGTCTCAAAAAGCCAAAAGTTAAAAGTAAAAATAAAAGAAATAGAGGTTAAAATAAAGCCACATAAAGATTTTGCTTTTGCTTCCACAGAAAATGAGAGGGTGTGGATTCATTCTGAGTTAAGAAAAATCCAGTTTGACCAATGGAGACCACCTAAGAAATCTCCAGTAGGAACAGATGGCCCAGATGTCTGAGTTCTTCATTCAGAACAGGTTCAAGACTGCTGCCTGAGATGATCAAGACTCACAGGATACTTCAGTCAGGACTTCATCATAACTCTAAATTTTCTTTAGTTTCCCATAAGATAATCAGCACCCCCAACCAGCTGGAAGTAGTCAGGAATACTACGCCCACATTCCCAAAAAATGGACTATGAATATTTTCCTTTTTTTTTTGTTTTGTTTTTAAAAAGAGGGGGAAGTGGTGCGGGAGAATTGTCTGTATTCTGTCAATCATGTTTTAAATAAAATGCTGATTGGCCAGGCAGGAGATGTAGGCAGGAAAACCAGACAGGAAGTGGAAATGATGCAAAAAGAGCAGGAGAATTCTGGGGAGAAGGAAGTTGATTCCCCCACTCCTGCCCAGATCACCGAAGCAGCAGGATGTGATCTGCCCCACTGAAAAAGGTACTGAGTCACATGGCTAAAATAGATCAGAAAAATGGGTTAGTCAAGATGTGAAAGTTAGCCAGTAAGAAGCCTGACCTAATGGGTCAATCAGCTTTATAACTTATAGAGATCTTTGTGTGATTTTCTTTGGGGCTAAACAGCTGTGGGGTACCAGGTGGGAGGACAGGAATCACAAACAAGCTGACCCCTTCATGTTACAGAATGGCTGTGATTGGTTTTCTCTGGAACTAAACAGCTGTGGGGTACTGGGAGGCACAGAAAACACAAACAAACAGGCCCCTTCATGCTACAAAGTTTGACCTTGAAAACACAGGGAACTAGATAAGGCCCATATCTGTTTACACATTTTTAAATCAAAATCTCTCTTGCTTTTTAGACAACACACCAAAAATTTCTCTTGCTTTTTAGACAACATAGCAAAAATCTCTCTTGCCTTTTAGACAACATAAAAACTCTTACCAAAGTCTTTTTTGGTGGTTTCTCAGTGGGGATGTATGGCTACATTTTAAACAAGAGCAGCATATACAATCTTATACCAGTGTGAAACATTTGAGACCAACAATAAGTTTTTTTAAACATTAACCAACAATAATTTGTAAACAACAGCATGTAAAATCCTGTACCAGTGTGAAACATTTGAGACCAACAATAGGTTTTTTTTAACATCAACCAACAATAATTTGTAACCATCCCCTATAAAATGATGACAGATACTTATAACCCATAGGATCTGAAAGAGTTCTTCACCCACAGAGCCAAGCCTTGGTCAGCTTTGACCAGAGGTTTCAGGCGTGCAGCTCCCAGGGCAGGCAGAGGGAACTTGCCCATCAGCACGGCGGGGGCGGGGGCGGGGGCGGGCGGGGGGGACAAGGTGGTATGCAGCACTGGGGAAAAAAGATTGTTAACTTCTTTAGGCCATAGCAATTACCCTCAGATTTTTTGTTTAGTGTTTGAAATCCTATTGGTACATCTGCCTTCTACAACTGTGTCTGGCAGCCTCAATACCTTGTAACAGCAAAGCTGAATAGCCCAGCCATCCATACAAGCATGCTGCACTGCAGCCACGTGCTTGGGGCCGGGGCTGACTTTTTTTGTGAAATATACCCTTATGCTTATGGCCCTATCTCTAAAGTCTTGTAAGTGGTCACAAAATCAAGGTCAAAGAAGTCATGATTTGAGTATTCAGCATCAGTCTAAGTCAGGACAAAAGCACAACACACATTACACAGACATACAGGACAAAGGCACCAAACAAACCAAAGACACAGCTTCAAGCTGCTTTGCAGGTGTTACCCGCCCCGCTTTCTAAATGAGACCGCTATCCACGCATGTCTCTACAGAGAACTGACCATGCCACTCATGTGTCAACCACAGAACTGAGAAATGCCACCCACGTATCTCATCAGAGAACTGAACACGCTACCTGCGTGTAAGACAAAACAGAGACTGAAGATACACAGACAAAGGCTAACAAAACTTAGGAAGACAAAACCATTGATCCAGAGTCAACGTCACAGTCTGTCTCAATCATCAAAGTCACAAAACAAAAGACCGAAGACATGCAAACAAATGTCCATCTCCACAGAGACAGACAATACCATTCCAGAAATACAGACGGCTGAGAGGACATAGTTCCTCCAATCCAGGAGAACTTCCATATCCTCACCAGCACCCAGACGGGAATCTCCCAGGCGTCCCTAGGTCCCTTCTCACCTCCCGGTACATCTCCCAGTGTGGCAGTCGGTGATCTAGCACGTTTGCTGATCACTCCCTCCGTCTCCTCCCGAGACACGGGCAACTGCAAAACCGAAAATACAGAACCTGAACCTGAATTCAACTGGCACGGAAACACAAAGACAGGACTGTAAACCCGAATGTACAGAGACTGAACCTGAATTCAGCTGGCAAAAACAAAACAAAACAAAACCACTAAGACACAGACACAGACATGACTGCAAACCCAAAAGTACAGAACCTGAACCTGAATTCAGCCGGCACACAAAGACACAGACACACAGACAATGTCTCACCTCCAAGTGGGTCTTCAGAGACGAGGGTGGTCACCAATCCCGGGACGAGCCTCCAAATGAAAGACCCCTGATATGGGGAGACTCTCACTCAAGTCTCGGGATAACTCGACCCCCCCCCCAGTAACTCACGAGAGACCGTCCTTGCTGGCATCACATGAGGTTTAATCGACAAGACGGGAATCAGTGCACTGGGGCCAGCACTCATAACCCATGCAGGGAGGAGTTCCACCCCGAGTAACTGGGAGAAGGGGTTTTTAAGGGAAGAAACCACAGCCCAGTAATCCAAAGGGGTAGGGAGGGCATCATAGAAAATTCCAAAAATACCAATGATAATCACAAGGGGGCAACTCTGTGTTTCTCAAGATTACAATCTAACTTTATCTCCACCTAGTTCCTGAAACACTGAACTGGCTAATCCTAGATTTCTGATTCTTCCCTCCCTGCTTAGGTTTTTGGCTCTATTTATTCCTGCTAGGGGGATCTGGATTTATCCAGGTCTTTCAATATCAGTCTTGTGAGTTGATGGTCACTGAAGTAAAATCTCCTCAGATTACCTCTTCCTCGTGAGAAATGACTATCACCATCCCCAAACTTTTCCTTCTGATAGGGTTGAAAATGGAAGGCGAGGGCACCCAGGAGGATGAAGCCTGCTAAGGTGCCAACGGACGCGTGGGGAAGAGTCTCTGGCTGGCATTTCAGGTGAATTATGCGAGGGAACTCGCCAGGTTGCCTTCCAGAAGGAGGAAGATTTGTGTGGGGCTGTGTCTCTGTGCCTTCACACATGGAGGGTACAACCTAATTTGAAAGCAAGCCCAGCAGTTAGCTCGTGGGTGTTGCTTTATTTCAGGGACTTCCCTAGTCACAGCTCAGAATGACTTACGCTTTGTAGGACTGGTCTCAAGAGACAGACGCTTCGAGGATATGAAACTACTCTCCAAATGTAGCTCAAAACCTTTTAATT